CTTTCCGCCTTGGACCATAAGGACGGAAGCACCCTTGCCCTTAGTAAGGTTCTCCTATGCAGTCTGGAGCATTTTAAGAAGCTTCGGAAGGGGTTTGTCAAGATCATGCATCATGTAGTTCATGATAAAACCCTTATACAGCTCAGGGAGCGACTGCAGGATCAAGTCCGTTGCCAGCTCCTTCTGCAAGGAAAACCCGAGTTTCTCCAGATTGGTTATGTAACCAATCATTTTGGGAACGTGCGGACCGACCGGGTTCCCTGAAGAGAGCTTGCAACTAAACAGAGCCTTACTCACAAGAAAACGTTCATGCCTGGATTGCCCCTGGTATAGCTGCCGCAAGGCCACGATCATCTCGTGGGCCTTTATGTCCTCGTGCTGTTTTTGCAGCTCGGTTATCATGGTAGCCAGCATGACACAGCTAACCTGGTTGTCATCCTTAACGTGTTTCTCGTAGGCATCTTTGACCGCTTTTGGGGCGTTAGCGGGAGGGGCAGGAGGAATGGGCTTTTCGAGCACATACTCTTTCTCATCCATGCGGAGAACAATGGAGAGATTGCGTTGCTAGTCAACAAAGTTTGTTCCGTTCAATTTATCTTTATCCAGAATGGAACGCAGGGCGAGGTTGTTTGTGTTGTTGTTTGCCATCTACAGAATTTTGCGAAGATAGTTATTATCATGAATTAAGTATCTAATAGGTCTTCATTAAATACTCTCCCACTATTTCTAACAAGTCAACTACCCTCAGGTACGGAACCTATTGACTTGGGGTTTCTATTTGAAGAATACCCTAGCGGGCCAAGATCCATATTTTATTTAACTATAGTTGTGATTTGCATCTTGCCCTACAGTTAAATTATTTAGGTAGGAATTCATTCCAATTGCAATCGTTATTACAACTCTTGGTTCGGTGGATTCTTTTAAATAAAATTCTTAATTGGGCCAGATCCATATTTCATTTAACTATAGTTGTGCTTTGCATCTTGCCCTACAGTTAAATTATTT